GTTTGAACATGTGCAAAAATGATCTTAATAATAAAGTATCGATACAAAATTTTATAACAAGAAAATAAAGTAATTCTGCTGACAGAACCATTTAAAAGCAAAAACTCTGAATAATGAGTTCATGAAAACGTAAATTTTTATTAAGGTAATTTTTCCTTTGTCCTAAAATGGATGGAAAGTGATATTATTCTGTCCCAGCTAAGTTTTCAGCCCATCATAATCTCCTTCGCTTCACTGCTGACTGATCTGTATAAGTCAGCATGCCTCTGACTGCAGCGTGAGATTTGATTTCCCACCAGTAAAGCTAATCGGCTGTTTTAAAGAATAACTAAACGAATAAGTAACTAATTAGCCGAGTAATCGCTTGACGTGCAAATAACTGATGGCTTTTACTATTCAAGAAATTCTCTTTTATCGATTTCATCACCTTATTTACAAAGCGCTCGTTCTCTGTAGCTGCTCGTTCCATTTTATTGTTTTTCTCCCATTCATATCTTTTATTCTCGAGAGGCCTTTTAGTATGAGGCTTTCTAATCAAAACTTTGTAAGCGAAATTTAATAAAAATCTGCTTACATGTGCCGAAAGTTTTCGTAATTGTTCCGAGAAATGTGTGGGGTAATGGTGCATGGTTGAAGTCCTGTGCCATAAGTAACACGTGAAAATGTTGATGTAAGCAGCCAACTTCTGTAATCTAACTCTTCAACCTCGAAGTCCTGTGGTTAGAGAATACAGCATCAGCCCTAACCATGTTACTGCATGGCTGTGAATTCAGATTGAACTACGAGGTGGAAGGTATTTTTAACTCGCAGTAAGTTGAATTTGTTTCTGGTTGCTTCTGAGTACAGATGTTAAAATGACAGTAGATCCGAATGCCAGGCGAATGAATTGGTGGATGAATTAGTTGGTGTGTGTGCAGATGAATGAAAGGAAAGACACGAAGGTGAGTGGGAAAATGAATGAGGATTGAATGGTAAATAAGTGATGTGTGATTCAGTGAGTTGGCGAACGATTTAGTGAATGAGAAATATTTTAAAGTGAAATTTGTTGTTATTGAGTTTCTTTAAATTGTGTGTTTATTTAGGCATTTGTTTTGCCTGTAAACTCAAATATGACATGCAGATAATACAAACTGACATCGCCGCTGTAGTAGTAAGGATTTTCTAGCTGCATGTAAATTACTTGTTGCAGTTACAAAATTATTCAGGCTCCTAAACAAAGACTATGCACTTATGCCACGATGCTATAGTATCTATAGACGTTAGCGATACGGACATTGCATTGCAAGTGAAGGGTCTCGGGTTGACGTTTTAACAATTCTCGGTAGTTAACGTTTCTGATACCTCATTGAACGTTTCAACTGAAAATAACAGATGACTTTCCATTTACTTTTACGACTGTGTTTTGTCACTACCGTCATTCCACTTCCCAGGCAACAAATGTGATTCCTGTGTAAGGTTCGTGCTCTGGAGATTGTTTGTTATATTATTACGACTTAGAATTTGAGTTAAATCAAATGGTAAACATTTTCTGCACCAATGGTTCGTATTGCAGCGAAAAGTGAACCTTATAGACGGCTGAAATGGAAGTTAAATATGAATTAAAATTCGCTCTATGAGACGGATCGTAAAATAAATTGATAGATTATTACAGAATTAGAAATTTCTGGGAGACCTAAGCTACCTAGGAGGTTAATGAAATGGACCTTAAATAGACTGTGAGGATGAAGATTAGATTTAATTGGCTGAGGATAAGGTATAGTGATGGGCTCTTTTAGCCATGATAATTGAAATTCAGGTTTCATAAAGGGCGGAGAATATCTTGGCTAACAGAGTAACGGAGTGTTGGGTTCTCAGTAAGGAGTATAAAAATTTAGGTAAATTTAAATGGTTTCAATATTGCTTATGGCTTATAAAGTAGCCTGACAGTATGAAAGTTTATATAATAGCAAATACTGAGAAAAACCCAGGACCTGAAATGCAGCGTCACTCACACTGTCATGGAATCCAATTTCACTGCGAATGTCACTTTGACGTCTATATCGCGCATGGGGTTGGCACCGACATCTGTAGTTTCGATTTTTCCTGCTTCTCTGGGAAACCCAAAAAGAGTAATTGGTTGGTGCAAATATAAACTGCCTAGAGGAATATCTAGGATAGACTTAATCACAGGATTGCTCGTGAAAATTCCTGGCAGTGGGGGAAATCATTCTTTGATAGCTTTTTATGCAAATTTTAAATGCAGTTACTTGCTGGCTACCTATAGATCAGGAGTACAAACAGAACAAAACCGAAGCTGTACTATTCGCTTTCCTGTTACACAATCCAGGGGAAAAGTCGAATTTTGTCTTTTACGGGCGGGACTAGTTTGCTGGCTACAGTTTGTTACCGTTACGAGGCACTTCTGAACCACACAATCAGCTCGTAGAATAGATGTAAGCGTAAATCCAGATTGTGAGCTAGGAATGGATGAGGAGACGAGAATTCCATGCTTCAGTGTTATCTGTAAAGAATAAGTTCTGGAAGGAATTTGAGTTTATAGTTTCGTTTTAACGTTTAAACCTTTATGTCTCATACCCAGATTAGAGTCTGTACTTGTTTTATTTCCTACGCGTAATACAAGTTCAGCCAACTCAATAAAACAGAACCTTTCACGACAAACTGAAATTTTCTCAGCTAGTCAAGAACTTCGCCGCCATTTATGAAACTCTAAGGTTCATCACTGTTTTTACAAGTGCCCGCTACTGGATCCTACACTGAACCAAATGAATTTAGTCCACATCCTGACATCCTGTTTGTTTTAAGGCCCATTTTAGTATTACGTTCCCAACTACATGTAGGTTTTCCAAGTGGTCTCCTCACTTCAGGCTTTTAAAACTAAAATGCTGTATGCGTTTCTGGTCTTTCTTATGCATGTAAGTTTGTAAATGGGGCAGGTGCCTAACCGACAGCTTCCCCGCCTCTATTTCTGATGTTTTGTGCATCCCCGTTCACTTAATCTGCTAGAAGCCCTGAATCTCCCATGCGGTACATTATTCTACCTAGAAAAATCTTATTGTTTTCTCAGCTTACTGGTAGCCATTATCAATGTCTCCGTATGGAGCCCAGATGTCGTATAATCTCTGGGTCTTTAGAGAGGATTAGCTTCTATAAGTAGTGAGACCTGGGCCTTGGGCAATCTGGACGGGGTTTCCCTAGATTCTGCTAGTGCAACGTACACCGGTTGATAGGCCCAATAACATTTGATGAGGATTACAGTTATGATGGTCTTTATTATGCGGTTGTAATGTGAACTTCGCTTAGATAAATTCCATGCAGGAGAGTCCTTTTTACAATTCAGGGTCCCAATAAAGAGCCCTAAAATTCAAAGTAAATTGATCTGATTTTTAAGCATTTCTTGTAGACCGTTAAATTAAATGGGAGGGAATAGTTTACAACAAAATAATTCAGTTATAATTTTTAGAAGCATACTGTCTTATTCCATTTGATTCAGTAGCATTCATTCTTATCCACCGTCTTAAAAAAACTTAATGTATATTAGTTATTTATTTGACGACGTTGGTAATAGCTCAGACTATTTAGCGTCGAATGATAGGATGTTCTTCGAAACAAGCGGCCGTGTCCTGATTTGAGTTACTATCTGGCATATTCCTGGTGGGACTGACAAAAACCACGAAAAATGTCAGTCAGGATTGCATCTCTTAGTCGAGATTTTAATCTGAGACCTCCGTAGTACGAATCAGATGCGCTGACGACTCGGTCACGACTTTAGATCTTAAAACTTAAGACGATGGACAATGCTGAAAATAAATGTCATGTCAACTGCTTATTTTTTACACTAAAAAGTGATGTTCAGAGACTTTAACCTCTTACCACAAGGCCACCACCAGAACTCCATGATTGCAGATAACAGAAGAACGTAGGGCTCACCTTTGCAAAGCGCAGAATCTTGATGTAGGATATGTCGCTGTTTCTGATAAAAGAATCCTGTATTTTCTCAGTCACTTCACACAAACACACGTAGTTAACCGACAAGTTCAAGTTATTTTTTGAACTGAGAGTCTCAGTTTCACCTTAATATCACTGTATATTTGTATCTGGATATGAAAATAATACAATCAAAACTTTGTACGAGAACTTATTTATGACTTGTAACTTATTCGGTCAACTTGCTGAAGGTAGATTTACTTGCTATCTTTTCACTGGCAGTGATTAAAGCGTTCATTTAGAATGGGATTTAATTTGGCATTTGAATGCTGAAATTAAAAGACATGTAAACCTTCGCTCTTGTGTTGCTGCTTTCAGTCGACTGTCATATACTGTAGATTTATGCGCACACATGTAACAAGTGTTAAAATAATTGACTGATAACAGTGACTAATTAACCACTGACACAAATCATTCACTTGCCTGCGAGTACCTTTTAAAAATAGTTATATATATATTGCGTTATTTAGATAAAGCATTAAATATTCACAGCTTTAGACATGATACTAACGTAATAAAAATTAGTTTGTATGTGTAACCAAATCTTATTTCGTTCCAATCACTGGTTAGGTTCCTTTCTATCAGTTTCAATTAACTATCACATTAACATCTTGCATTTTAAATAAAATAATGTGGTTATCTTAATCACTGACTGCGTCGTCTTTCAAGCGGGAAAGTTCAGTATAAAGGCAGTTATAATGTGATGTTTGTAAATGGAAACTGAATGACGTTCCTTCCTTGTAAATTTTTTCTTTTAATTTTTTGCACAATTTCCCCGGCTGGAGCTGTTGCTTGTCTCACCACTGCCCCTGCCCTGGTAGGCAACACTCAACCCACTGCGCTCGCCTGGCGCCGCGACGCCCGCAACTGTTTTTCTCCCCCACTCTTCAGCACCAAGCGCCGTGCTAGCAGTGACATCAAGCGGCCAAGATCTTGGAACTCACATTTTTCGACAGACTGACCATGATTTTCGGATTACATGTCATTCATCATTTTTATATTGGTTTAGAACTTCACAGGAAGAACGTAGACTGATGGTTTTTGAGAACAGAGTGCTAAAGAGAATATTTTGATTTAAGAGAGAGGAAGTTTTTATTTCGACCAATAATCGAAACGAATGAGATGGTCGAAGCATGGGATAATTGATAAATTAATGTCAAAACTTTTTGACGGAAAATCGGAAAGGAAGAAATAATTAACTTGGGAGACGTGCGTAGATATATATGGAGTTAGTTATAAATATAGCAATATTGGAAAACTGCTGTCTGTACGGGAGGACACAGTGTCCATAGGCGTTCTTTGCGCCTCTACTTGTAAATTCTCCTGGTTGTGTATGTACATGTACACGTGTGTTTACATTGTGTATGTCGAGGTAACGCTGGGAAGTGAGATAACAATTTGAAGTCTTACAGTGATTGATCTGATAAGAAATCTCCCAAAATTAATTGTTAATTATTACGTGTCAGTGTTATGTGCAGATAAGAGTGACTAATGAATCCAACAGAATAAAATTCCAAGTGTCAGTTATATCCGGCAGTGATAATTGTTCTTGTGCACTACGTATTACAGTGATATGTAGCTCATGAGTTAGCGTTCTAGGCTAGTGCATAGAATGTCATGCGATTTAATATTATTCGGGCCACATTTTTATTATTGCTTGAAATTTCAATATGTCACAGAACATTATTATAATATTTTATGGGCCAACTTAACTGGTACACAGATTCTGTCTACGATAAATTTGTCGGCATCATTTCTAGTTTTTTTTTATTTACGAATAATACCCATGCTTAGTTTGTAGGGATATTCATGACCTGTCTTTATACCAAATTACACATGCATAGCTCAACTTGTTCATAGTTGTCGTTGTGAAACGTAAAGCTGAAGAGATTTGTTTACACAACTGTCGTGTTGCTATTTTACATTTAAAAAAAAATCTTGGCAACATTTGCATATTTTCTAATTGTCTGGTGCCATTCATAATTTCAGGATCCTGTATTAAATGTCACCAGCGTTGTGCCAGACTGACAAGGTTCTGAATTCGCTATCTTGTTAAAAATCTGGCTTGGGCCTCAGTCGCAATAATGTTTGTACCAGAGTTTGGTGAAAATTCGTCGAGCTGTTTTCGAGTTGAAACATGCGGGCGATAGACGCGATCACTCCTATGTGCCTTTATTTTATACAACGAGTGCTTAATAATGAGACGACCAGCTGACAGACAATCCTGTTGAAGAATATGCAGTAACGATGTTTAGAGAACGCCGAAGCTCAAATGTAGTCTTTAATTATTGCACGCACCGATAATTCACTTCGGAGTGTTTGCCAACAGCAAAAAACCTATAAAAGGCAAACACTAATAAAATGTACAACACAAAAATACATTAATAATAATAAATTATCCAATTTGGTAAGCAGACTAATTTTCATATCGGGGATGCCTAGTTCAAATCCGACCAGATGACCGATAACCCGAGTGAGTTGCCTGTTTCATGGTTTATACAGGACAGAATTTAATTCTTAATTAAGGGGTACAGCCAAAATGACTGCCAACACATATGTTCAAAACTTGAAAATGCAATTTCGTTCTACGTGTAACCTAATCTAATTATTACAGTGGATTTTTCTTAACACCAACAGACTGCAATTATCATGTAGTCATGACTCAATTTCCAGAGCCTCGTATGTGATAAAAAAATGATTACGGGAACATTATTGTCAAGTTCCAGATCCGTCTAGATTCATTATCGTCTTATCATATCTAATTAAAATCTGATTAGTTTTAGCATATACCCTCGGTTAGTTTTTCTTGGTTTAATTAACGGTGGCTTTAAATTACTTAGATTTTGCAGTGTCAAATGGTAGGCTGATTTTTAATGAATGAATTGGAAAAGATTCGAAAAATGGTTTTGGAATATGCCGAGGTACTATCCTGTCATTTACCTGTACGGTCAGTGAAATCGCCCAATATCTCGGTATTTTCACCATTTGAGTTATTACCCTGAAAATGCTAAGATTTGTGTTTTAATTTCAGTTTCCACTGTATGGGACTTTATGACCTGTGCTTTGAGACTTGCTGGTAAATTAAGTGTAAGGTCGTGGTGGGATCTCTGATCTAGCAATGGAGTGTGCCACCGGCGAAACAAATTACACAGCATTAAAACGGAATCTTAGCCACAGCTGCATGAAGTCAGAACATAGAATTCGGTGTACTAATCTCCTTGTTATGCCCGTATGGACTAGAGTCCAACTCCTATCCCACTTTACGGCTATCTTTTCAACTCTCTTCCTATGTAACTATATATATTTTTTGAATTCCTAACAAAGCATTAATTTTAGAAATCTGTCAGTGTCCATTTTGTTCATGTGCATTGGTCATATTACTCTGTAATCATCTGTTCGCTCGTTTACAGAATAAGTATTTAGCTCCTTCCGTACATGTTTCCTTTCAAGTTTGTGTAATCTGCTACGTCATTTACAAATATAATTTCTACAGCTTGAATTTTACTAACAGTTTCGTTGTTAATTTTTGTACTAAAATACTTTTCTCGTATTGTAATATTCTCTGTGTGGTTCTTCTCTTCACTTAGAAGTTCAATAATTCCTTTGTCCGCATCCTATTTGATGTTGGATAAGCTGTAACTTTCCCCTATGTACCCAGTCCATAACCCCCATTATTACCACGTGGTATTTCGGCACCCATTCACTCTCTTTGTTCCATGGTTCATCCATTAGCGAATACGGACCAGTCTGAACATGAAATCGATAATTGGTTTATGCTTTTACATTATTATCTCCAGTGAGTGTCATTAATAAGTGTAAAAATGTTTCTTGATGGGAGAAGTCATGTTTGATTCCAGTGATAGGTGAGATTTTTGTTTATTTATTTTAACATACTGATTGCTCCCTTTACTTTATTACGGTCAGCCCGTATAATATTATTCACAAATAACTTCACTTTTCTCATCATCAACATCGCTTTTACTTTAGGTTATAGGAAATCTACCTGTTCCGGCTTCAGCTTTCTATCTCTTTCCTGGGTGGTCAATGTCTCTTCTTCCTCATCGCGTATGATGGAAGCCTCCAAGCTCTATATTCCTTAATTTTATATTTTTCAAGTGTGTTCTTGTACATCCCTTGCATGATACAATTACATATTTTCCTGATTGACCCATTGTAGTGTCTTGTTTATTTCCACATAACAGTGTCAGAGCTGCCATTGTCTCGTAGAATTTTTGTTCCTTTCTTATCTGCCCCCCCCACCCCCTTACATTTCTTCCTATGCTCCTAGTGGAATGTGGTACCGTAATATATTGAATATGAAAACCATTGGTGAATTTTCGTTATATGACATGTCATTTTCGAGATTGGAACCTTCAGTCACAGTGTACATATGCAATCCTATACGAAAGGCGATCTTCTTTCTATTATAAAAATTTGTGATTCCTCGTTGTTGTCAATAAATTACGTCATCAACAATGTCAACAGATATTTGTTTACTCGGCATTGTTGTGTTCCACAACAATGCCGAGTACAACACAACAATGCAGAGTAAACAAATAACGCTTCACAACAAAGAAATCAAAAATTATCAACCCAGTCGCATTATCACTGCTCCAGAAGCAGCACATCGCATTCTTGAATATTGACTGACAGTTGGCCTAAAACATCAGAAAAGTGAAAGAAGACGTTATCAAGTATTTGAAGTACCAACTCTAACAACTCCTGCAAGGTAAACTGATACTCATTCGATATATTACGATTACGAAACTATCATGAAAACTGACTTTTGATCGATTTTAAGACGAAGATTTGCAGGGGTGGGGCTGGACGTAAGTAGTTGACTGAACAAGAACTGCTGGTACTATAAAAATTTGTGATTCCTCGTTGTCGTCAAAAAATGACGTCATCAACAATGTCACCTTATGTTTGTTTAATCGGCATTGTTGTGGAATACCGTCAACAGAATTTATCATTATCTTTCGGTGGTGTTTCTTGGTAAGTACTGCATCTTCACTTTGTAATGGCGATCTGTGTATACAATCTTAGCACCCTTCATATAGAAAAGAGTTCTGTTACGAATTTAAGGCGTATAGGTTACGTCGAGGAAAACCTACACATATCAACCTCCGCGCTAGATGAAGATAAATGGCTAACTCTGCCGTTTCACTCCTGAATCCGTGGTATGAGAGGTTGAGTGACCTCTGGAGCCGTGATGGCGAAGTGAAAAGTTCCTGTTACTTAGAGTCCAGCCCGTAAAATTAGTTCACTGACAGAGAACTTCCAGCTGTGATGATCTTCGGCAGCCAGCATTTATGAAAAACTTCACCATAGCTCACACCGACAATCGTCTAATGAAGGGCATACATACTGCAGTCCTCGGTGGTCTGTGAGAAGAACTTTGACCCTAAATAAAACGAAGCCTAATCTTTATTAATGTAAGTGTCTTACTTAACGGTTTGAAACAAGCAGTTCGATGAAGCGAGTCTCATGTGCTTCTTGTAAAGTAGCAGTAAGTCAATAATAAAAGTTAACGGAAAGTGGCACATAATAAGTCTTAATTAGTGTTTTAATCGTGTTTAGTTTCTTTTCCATTGCCCGGCGGAACAATAGTTTTTACTTTATTTATTTTATTTTTGGTAATGGTCATAAAATTCGCTGTAACCATGTGTTAAACGTATGATTTGAGATTATCACAGCGGTGAGTATGAAGACAGAAATCTTCATGTGTTAAACCTTTCTCTTCCTAGATGACTCTGGTGACTCTCACGTCATACATATTACCAACGCAAGCGCTACAAATTGAAGCACATATGTAATGTAATATATTGGATTAATTGTAAATCAAATCATTCACTTACTTATTGTGATATTGAACTAAGAAATTACAAGATATAAAATCTGTGATTAAATAACATGTTTTATAATGTCCTCATTTCCATGAGTTTAACTTTATTAGCATTAGTGCCAACGTGTATGACAAAACGTACACTCTGGTTATCCATGCTGGTTGACTTCAAATGTAAGTCTATTAACTGTCTTAAAACTATCCAAAAATTGGGTAGTTGAATTTTAATTTTATGTGTATAATTTATATATTATAATACGCACTATCTGTTGCTTAATACGATGTAGAACGTAATATCGTTTGGTTAAGATTGACGTGGCCAGTTATACGCATGCGTAGTGGAGCCTTACGTGGCAAACCCAGTTGGAATAAAGTATGGTTGTAGTGCTGTTGTGATTGTACAAACTTTTTAGTGTCATTTGTGTGAGTATTATTTACTCGTGTAAAAAACTGCATCAGCAGTTTTGTATAGGAAATATGACTGTTTCATCAAATGCCGTTCAATGTTCAGTATCAGAACTTTAAATAACTGTACAATGTCGACATCTCAAAAAGAGGTTAAAGGGGGTAATTAATTTTAGATTAAGAAAGAGGAGAAACTTTTCTTTAGAGTGGGGTATGGTCTTGAATGTAGTTTACGTAGTGGTATTTAGTGATGGAAAACCATGGTTTCAGAATTCTCTGTGGATTAAACATGAATCCACAATATCTACCCCAGCAACCACAGCAGCAACATGGAGCCCCACCAGGTACAGGGTTTGGTCCACCACAAAATGTATATCCTAATACTCCACATGGGGGACCCAGACCATCGCCATCTGGTACACCAGGAGGATTTCAACCACCATCTGGACTACCAGCACCTGGGGGCATGCACCCACCTGGCCCTCCAGGACCTCGGAAAATGGTACCACCTCCACAAGTGACCCCATCCCCTAACAGTAACATACCTGCACCAGTTGGACCTATGCCTGCTGGTCCTGGAATGATGACTGGAGGCCCCATGGCAAGCTCTCATCACCCTGACTTTAGTGGATCTAACATGGTGAAAGGGCCGGCAGGCCCTCCCATAGGTATGCAGATTTATCTTACAGTTAGAATTAGTTTGTGTTTTGAATCCCATAGCAAGATCTGGCTCTTGTATTGCCTAACACAGTAACAGTTTTAGAATGTCTTGAGTTTGAGGGTGCCATTCTGCTGTATTTCCTTGACTTTTCATAACCTTGGAAATCTTATAATTTGCCATCAGAATGTCTGTGTTTACTATAGTAAATATGTATTATAGTTTTCATATTGCAATTTTCCATACATGAAACTGTTTTGTGTTTTATTATCCTGACAAATTTAAATCTTATGGGTATGTTGTCCATGTGAAACTTTACTGCTGGCAGAGGCTGTTTACATCTTTTTAGTTGAGCTAGTTATTTTAATTTTGTAAATAGGCTAATTATTTGCTAGGTGTAAATAACATGCACATATGGCAGTAATGGCTTGAGTAATAGCTAATATCCAGTAACTAAGAATTTTAAAAATAGTTTTCATCTTTTTTATGATCATCACAAATGATAATGATGCATAAGAATTTTGTAGAGTTATCACTTTTTTAATAAATTGTTAGCTCTAAATTTTTAGAATTGAAGGTATATATTGGTTACTTACTTTTTAGTTGGATCATTGTACTGATTTATTATGAATGTTAATGCAAACCAAACTTCATAGCTAACCTGAAAAGTAACTTCTTATTTTTGTAATGGTACCATGATCTGCTCTCCAGAACATCATTGCCAGTGAACTTCTTCATATCTTCAGTGAAGTTTTTATTTAGTAGTCTGTGCCAATAGATTGTTCCGACCGGCCCTGACACTTTATTCGTTCTTCATTGCACAGTTGTTTCCATGAGCTTGTAGTCTGTGTCAGACGCATCCTCACATATTTTATACTATGAAATTATGTAATCAAAATCAATTACATCCTCTACTTTCCTGATTTATACAAATGCTAATTATTGTGAACAAAAAAGTTTGAAATGTTTAAATCTAAGAGCAACAGATGGACCATATTTATCATGAACCAAGTTTAAAGTGACTGTCTTTTGTGCTTAACATTATAGTACTCTGACATCTGTACCCTTCCACAATAAAGATAAATTGTTGGCATTGTTGTAACCATATTATACAGTTTCACTTCGCCAGCAGAGCTTTATACAGTTATTCACATGGTAGATGCACTTTTAAAAACACTGCATGAATGAAGAGCTAATTTTCCATAAGAGGGCATTGAATAGAAGCTGGAAAACTTTACAGAAGGTTGGTCATGTGCTTTAGTCACTACTTTTGCATTACATTTCCTTTCTTCTCCATGCATCCCCATTTTGTAGTATGTTGAAGAACTCGGGATTTTTATCTTTTGTATGCAGGCTTGTAGGTGGTTGCCAGCATTTAAAATGAACATACTGCATTCATTTTCATGCAGAATTTTTATAGTCTGAAGATGGAGGTGATATGTTCTTCTGAAATGTAAGTAGCAACCTACAAAGACTATACAACTGTGTATCTATGTAACCTGCAAGGCTGCACTGTGTTATAACCAAGAAGACCACAGTCCTCATTTTTACTGTCCTGAAAATCTTACAGTTTATGTTAAAGTACTTTCATTCTACTATGTTACAGTATTTTGTTATTGTGAATTTACGTTTCTTGTAGTACCCCAGAATATGCTTTCTTGTTATGAAGGACCAGGTTTTCAACCCCGTGGACCTCATCCTGCACCACAACCACCAATAATGGGGCCACCAGCAACATCAGCTCCAAGTCAGTTAGGAACTCAGTTATCAGGGATGAATTTAAGTGGACAATCACGACCACCTGTTCAGATTTCTGTAAGTTGTTCCATTGCACATTTCTTTAACATTAAGATTGCTACTGTAAAGACTAAAATAATGGCTTTTCGAGGGAAAGACCCCATTTACAGCAAATATTGTGCCTGTAACAAAGTTATTGAGCAAGTTAATTGTTTTAAATATAATATATTACATGTGAAAGTGAAAATATCTTTCTGAAAACATTCTGATTTACAGAAGAGCAGTTGAAATAATAAACTTAGTGTTCAAAACCAGTTGTGCTCAAAAGCATGCAAGCGTGATAGTTTACAAGACTTAATATGACCCATGGCCCTTATAGAAGGAAGCTTATACTGTTTGAAAATGAGAAAGTGGAATCACAGCAGCAGCAGAAATAAAATTCATGAGGAAAATGACGCAGTGGTGGTCTTTAAGAAAGTGGTCGTGGTCTTATTTAAGGTTACTATGTTGGAATTTGCCTAGAGGGACTGAGGAAAACCATGAAAACCCTCGGTCAGGATTGCAAAAATCTCTGATGATATCAGGAGTGCTAACCACTTGCCCACAACATTGCACTTTTTGTAGTTGGATTTATGAACTATGTGTCCAAATACAATGGATTTTAACTTGGCCCTCAGGCAAGATGCATTCAAAACAAAGCATTAGTTTCATTGTATATGGTACTGTATGTTGTATTTCTATGTGTATCAGGTTTTTTTTGTTGCCTCTCGAATAATTTCGCTTTATATTGTGCACATTTTTTACTCTACATCTTTGAAAAATGTAACATATTTTATTAGTTCATATGACAACTTCATATACAGAATTTGAGAATTTATTTTTTCAGAATTATTCTAGTGGACCTCCAACAAAACCTGGCTTTGGTAGTGAGCCTCTAGGTTCCCCACCAGCAAACTTTTATCATCCTCCAGGCAGCTTTCCACAAGGTATCAATGGAGGTCCTGCACCTCCCACATCATCTCCAGATCAACCTTTTCAGCCCCCTGGACAGCAACAGCATGGGTCCTTGCCACTATCTCAGTATATGAATGGCTCTATGGGTCCTCCACCAGGACCTGGAAGAGGGCCTATAGGAGGCCCTCCACAACCTCATATACCTGTTCAGGGTGGAAACATACCTGTAGCACACAGGAGTGTGCCTCCAACAGGGGTGCCACCCCAATCTGGAGGTATACAACCACATCCTGATGGTATGCCATCCCAGTCTGGAGGTATGCCACCACATCCTGGAGGTATGCCACCCCAATCTGGAGGTATGCCATCACATCCTGGAGGTATGTCATACCAGTCTGGAGGTATGCCACCCCAATCTGGAGGTATGCCATCACATCCTGGAGGTATGTCATACCAGTCTGGAGGTATGCCACCCCAATCTGGAGGTATACAACCACATCCTGGTAGTATGCCATCCCAGTCTGGAGGTATGCCACCACATCCTGGAGGTATGCCACCCCAATCTGGAGGTATGCCATCACATCCTGGAGGTATGCCACCACATCCTGGAAGTATTCCACCACATCCTGGAGGTATGCCACCACATCCTGGAGGTATGCCACCCCAATCTGGAGGTATGCCAGGTAACTTGATATCCCACTCCATGATAAAAACATTGAGGATGCTGGAGAGAATTTTTGGACATTAGAGAATGGAAGTAACCAGAAGACAGAAATAGGGGCCATAACATTACTGGGTGGAAATCAGGAGGCTAGTTAAATTTAAGCAAGCTAAAATGTGAAAACAGTGTGAAACACATCTTTAATGTTATTTTGTACATCATACAGGAATGGGTAACATACCTGTCATTCATGAATGCTGTTATTAGCTGTCTTTATGATGAGATAATTGATACTATTGTGACATCAGAGATATTTGCTTTATATGAGTAGGTAACTTGATATCCCACTCCATGATAAAAACATTGAGGATGCTGGAGAGAATTTTTGGACATTAGAGAATGGAAGTAACCAGAAGACAGAAAAGTTATGTAGTAACTAGCTTCATAATTTCTATTCTTTAGCAAGTCTTGGAGGATGAATTATGACAGGGATGTAGCATGCATGGGAGAGCCAATTAGTGCATATAAGATTTTAATTGGAATACTCGAAGGGAAGAGTTCTTTTGGGAAACATAGTCTTATGGTGTGGAATAGTAAAATAGATATTAAAGAAATTAGTTGTAATGCTGTGGCTTTGATAGGATGGTGTAGACTGGTATCCAGTGGTGGGCTGTTGTAATCATAGTAAATGAGTAACCTTCAATTTCCAACTCAGAAACTATCAGCTTCTCAAGATGGAATCTGCTGTATGGAATTAATTGGATATTTTACCACTTGCTTTATTGTCTTTATGATTGTAACAAGATGTCGTATGTGCCCAGATGTATGAGTTACGTATTGGGTTTGTCAGAAACAGTTTTTAATCTAGTGAATATTGCAGTATATCTAAACATATAGGTAGATCTTCAGGGGTACGTGATGTCCAGCTTCAGTTAAAATTCCATAAATTTAAGAAAATCAGTTTTGTCATGTGTTTTTTCTTTTACTAAGTGGTGATTGTGCACTGATGCAGGACTCGTGTAAAACTATATATGGCATTTTCCACAATTGAACTAATAAAATTTTTCTCAAGGTTAAAGTCTGTTGCAGGTTTCCCAGATTTACAGGGTAATTTCTGATTTTACATCTGTTAATTTCCTGCTCATTTAGTGTTCTTTGTTACTACATTCTCCTTTATCAAGAATGCGTTATTTTTTCGATAGGACATGTACCATCCAAATGCTGGAGTACCACCTCAAATGCAGCAGCCACCCATGGGGCCACAGGGTCCTGCTGCCAGTTACCCGTCACCTCATCAGCACATGGGTCCACAGCAACCACCACATCCAGGCATGCAGTCACAACCTGCGAGACGTCTTGATCCTGATCATATGCCAAGTCCTGTAAGTAACTGGAGTCTTCTTATAAGATGCTTACACTTGAGTTGCACTGATCAAAAAATCTCTATTACATTTCTAATATTTGCTATCTGAATTACTTCGTTATAATGTGTGAAATAAATTAACTTAATAAATAACCTACTGTATAATCATTGATTATTTTACAGTATTTTTCAGAGCATCTGTTATTCTTGTGATTTTTTATGCGGTAGTAAGTAAAAATATGTGTAAACATGAAAGGAAATGAGAAGAGCTAGAGGAAGGTGGGCAGGAAATTCAGGAGAGCTGAAATGTTGTATAGGAGAAGCAACATTACACACTTTGCTTTCTATGACCTGTGCTTTTGAATTGCATTAGGAAGCTAATGACATTGCATTCTTGATCTTTCAGGTTCAGGTGATGGAAGATGACCAACGCAATAGGTCAGGAATTTTCTATACAAATCAGAAGGGGATGGTACCACCTCTTGTCACTACAAACTTCATTACCCGAGATGAAGGCAATGCTAGCCCTAGATATATTCGTAGCTCAATGTACAATATTCCAGCTACCATTGATATGATGAAGCAAGTAAGTCTGCCACACAAATCTTTTTCTTAATATAGAAACTCATAGGAACGGTTGATATTTTCCAGTCCTAATTATGTTTAAACTGTCCTTATATTTGCTTAGAGGAGATAAGGAACATACAAACCGAAGATGGAAACACAGTCAGGTACTGAATCCATGATTTCTAGAGAATAAAACAATGGTAATGTATTTTATGTTGTGCATACTGTTTTTAGAATTTTCTTTCTTTTGTTTTTCAGGTTGCTGTGCCATTTGGTCTTGTAGTTAGTCCTCTAGCTCGGACGTTAGATGAGGAATATTTGCCACCAATTATAAACATGGGAGAAATTGGTCCTGTTCGGTGCAACAGATGTAAAGCGTATATGTGTCCGTTCATGCAATTCATTGATGGAGGGAGACGTTTCCACTGTCTTTTCTGCAAAGCCACTACAGAAGGTAAGGGTCTTGTTATATAGGGATGTAATAAATGGATGAGACAACGCATAGGGAAAATTATACTTTTAGTAATATTAATATACCTTACATCAAAAAATATTAATACATTATGACCCTTTTATTGTACAAAATTTTAATTTTGTATTCAGTATCAGATTTCATACTTTTGCTGAAAGATTTACAAAATTGGCACCAAAATTGTAATTTTTTATATCAGTTTGATATAATTATAATTGATTTTTACTGTGAAACATGAGTATTAAGGATTTATTGAGATTTGGCATAGTGCTTAGCAATATGGCACTGAAGAATATAGAGTCAGCCATCAGAAATCTTAAATGGGTTGGATATCAGATGAAATAAACAAGGAACAAATGAAATAAAATCTCGTGCAGTGTGATAGCACAAAATATGCAAATACAGAAAGAATTTGAATGAAAGTAATTGTTTCTATAATTGTTGACAGTGCCTCCAGAGTACTTCCAGCATTTAGATCATACAGGTCTGCGGGTGGATCGGTTCGAGAGACCAGAGTTGATACTGGGAGCATTTGAATTTGTTGCCACAGAAGATTATTGTAGGGTAAGTTGACTGTTGGCCTTCAGTAATTTCATACTGGATATGCTAAGTCACACTTTCTTTAAGAAATGGTTTTATGTTGTATCACATAGATGTTGTTTCTGAAAATTCTAGTATTTTCAGGCTAGATGCATGAATATCTAATTTAAAGTCTAATTTTTAGAATAATCTTTTTTCTGTTTCTTGACCGCATTGGATTTTAAGAGGTGATTAATGATAGACATAGCAGTAACTTCAGCGGTACAAATATGGAAATATAATTATATGATATACATTCACTATTGGTTGTCTGAGTTATTTCATATACATTATTAACGTCAGTGTTAGGTGGAATGTAATGCTAACCCTCGACTCCAACTAGTGCCAAGGTTAAGAATCTGTTGCATAAACCTTTATCTCTGTTCTCCAAGGAATCTTCATGGCACAGTGATTAAGCACAGGGAGAAATTTATCTTTATGTTTAATGTCTACAAGATAGAAAATTATTTGATAACATTTGTAGGCCATATTTAGATAATGGTGTTCAACGATTTTGGGCTGAGTGAGATATTCACAAAACTTTTACCAATATATATGAACATATGAATATATCTTGATATACATTGGATTATTTTTTGTATCCCTTAAAAGAAACTTAAAATGTATTTGGCTTTGTTGGGTTTTTGGACTCTGTCGATCGTCCAAGGATAAAATGTATAGAATCCAATCAGGCTGTGCACAGATTATAACCTATATTAATATTTTTGGATTATCTTGTTGCATATTCACATTTTCAGGCACATGTGATATGTAATTATTTCATATGGTAATAGTTTCATTTGATACATGAAGGGTCAATATAAGTGATTCCATAAGTACATTGTGCTGACATTTAATACTGCTTCAGTAAAATGTTGTAGTTAATTTAATATAAAAACAATGTGACATCGGAGATTTTTTTGTCCTATTTCAGAACAACACATTCCCCAAACCTCCAGCACTCATCTTTTTGATCGATGTGTCTTATAACAACATAAAATCTGGACTGGTTCATCTTCTTTGTAGCCAAATAAAAGAAATTGTGAAACTTCTACCCAAGGATGAAGGAGCCGAAAAGTCTAATATGAGGGTCGGTTTCATCACCTATAATAACACGGTGCACTTTTACAATATTAAGGTAAGGGGTATAATCTGTAAAAATGTCATCAGTTGCAAGATTAGTTTATTGACATACTCTTTACGTTAAAATCTGTTGTCGTTGGACATTTCCAGTTTTGCGTGTTATTCTGCAGAGCTAATTTCCACTCTTCCTTAACGTTTCCAATTTTTTTAGTCTTTGGTCTGTTCTGAAGATGGCTTTCTTCTGGGTTGTTGCTTGTTCTAGTCTGGTAGAAGTTACTAATGTTTCAGAGGTGTTTCATGCCTCTTTCATCAGGAAGATCCCTGCCATGATGATGGAGGTGGCAAACTCCTCTGGAACATAAGTAAACTATTACCAGACTGTGGCGCAACGTCCTAGAAGACAGCCAACCATCTTCATACTTTCCATCATGTGAAATGAAATCTCGTCCAGTCTGTTCTCTTCTCTAATTTTCAACTGCTGTATCCGTGGTCTCCAGTAGGTTGTCCTGAGATATGAAATTATATTTGAAGATTAAGTCCATTGTTTATTGACATTACACTTGGTATATATATTGATCATACTATAAATGTGGTATTCCCACTGTATGTATTGCATGCACTAATGTGTAAATTTTAATTGGAAGGTCTGAAGAGAAGAAACCACTTGGAAGACATAGGCATAGATGGGAGGATAATATTAAACTTGATATTGGGGAAATATGGTTGGAGTGTATATTGTACTCATCTGGCTCAGTGTCAAGACTAGTGGTGGGTTATTGTGAACACGGTAATGAACCTTCAGTTCTGAGAATCATATGAAACCCATAAATCTGCTCTTGTGTACAAACTGCAGAGGTACTGAATGTTAACGCAGATAGTATGTGCCATGTAATTCCCACTGGACTCTATAGGGTTAAAGTGATCACAGCCTTGAAGCTCTGGTACTACTGAAATTGAGTTTTAAATGAGGGAAACTCTTAAATTAAGATATATTATATGGAGATTTCATATTGTAATTTATGTAACTTTTATGTTCTATTCCATTTTGCTTGTGTCAGTATTTTCAAATTTTTAATAGCATCTTATACTTAGTATTGTTATGTGTTTGTATTCATTTATATTGGAAATATGCAAAAGTCCTGTTAAGTATGTTTTGAAGCATCTGTGTAATGTATTTAGTTTCATTTATTACTTCCAGCTTTAAGACATATTTTTCTCTCACTTCTGTATTTTTTCATGCATTTCATTTATCCATCAACAGTATTACTTGCTTTAACTAGATATATTCAGCATCTTTATTATAGTTTTTTCTCAGTCTTTCATTATAGTTATGTTGCACAACATGTATGTGATCATGACTGATCAGCTCTCAAATCACCTTTGTTCATCACACAGTTGATCAGTGATATTTTCAATATTTATGGTCTTTCAATGAAAACATTTTAAATTCAAATTTTTTCAGGGTTGTCTTGCTCAGCCACAGATGATGGTGGTGGGGGATGTACAGGGCATGTTTGTGCCTCTACTGGAGGGTTTTCTGTGTGATCCCACTGAATCTGAGGCGGTTATTGATAGTCTGATGGAACAGATACCGACCATGTTTGCTGACACTCGTGAGACAGAAACAGTACTGGCACCAGCAATCCAGGCTGGTCTTGAAGCTCTCCAGGTATAGTATTGACAGATGCTTAGTACACACTGCTCAGTTTACCAGTATTTAATAATTTTAGAGGCCTTAAAATACAGGTTTCTGACATTAGTATAACTATTAGAAGAAATCAGGCTTTTTGTAAGAAAAGTGTCAAAGTTCATATACTTTTTTAATAAGGGAATTTATTTGTTGTTAAAAACTGATATGGATTTGAATTTGTGCATGCTAGAAGGATCTTTCAGTTGTGGTATTCTATAAAATTTTGGTAATTTCTTGATTAGTTGAATGACTATCAGCTTCTCAAGGACCATGTTCCATGGAGCTAGGTAATTAATGATTAAAATATTTGTTATGTAAGTAAAAAGTGTGTCAGTGGAATTTTAATTTAAACTGTGGAAAAGAAAGGAAGGTTTTACAAAAGCATACTTCATGTAATGGTTTGATGATTGTTAAAATAAAAGATGCATACCTTGGCAGCCAACAAATTCAGGTATGTAAACAAGGTGGTGTTATGAGCAGCTGTGGCATGTAAAAATAAAGAAAGCTGTTTTATCAGATTTTTTTTTGCCTCCATATTTGTGAGTATTACAATATACTTTTTAAGATATAATTAACGGGGTCCGCAGTGGCCGCACGGTCTGAGGCGTGAGCCTTGTGCCGCTTGGTCGCTGGGACCGTGGGTTCGAATCCCACTCTAGCCATGGATGTTTGTCCGCATTTTTCTGTGTTGTGCTGTCCTGTGTACAGGTAGAGGCCTTGCGATGGGCCGATCCCTCGCCCAAGGAGTCCTACCGAATGTCCATAGATCAAGCCAACGGAAAGTTGGGACCCATAAAAGGGTACCGGAAAATGTATATACCGGAAATAGTTCAGTAATTTTAAGGTGTACAATTTATTGTTGTTGTAATTGAGTTGGAAAACCATGGACAGCTCTAACAGTGTAATCTAGTTTCTTATTAACTTTGTGCAACGTGGTAGTAATTTTATATGGTACAATATTTACGCAGGCCTCAGAATGTGCTGGGAAGCTGTTAGTATTCCATTCTTCTTTGCCAATAGCTGAAGCTCCGGGAAAACTGAAAAACCGGGATGACAGGAAACTGCTTGGCACAGAAAAGGAAAAAACAGTGTTAGGTAAATTCCAATTATATAATATCTTTGTCTCTTCTTTTATGCCCTCCACTGTCATTGCCACACAGACTATATTACATGTAGTGATCTGTTTGGTATTTCGCAAGACTTGATGTCCTATCCTTTCATTTTCAAAACTTCAATTTAATGATAAAATAAAAATTATTCAGTACTTGTTTCTTCTACTATACTAAGTTTTGTGTGTTATGTGAGATGTGTATTTATTTGTAGTTAATAACAATGTGTTAAGTCATTCAAACTGTATAGCATCAAATGAGGGGATACTAGTGAGTAATGAATTGGAAAGTATGTGGAAGGAAGCAGTCAGGCCTAATTTGAGGTACTATCCCAGCATTTGCCTTAAGGGATTGAGGAAAATAATGGAAAACCTAGCTGAAGAGAGCTGGTCTCAGGGCTGAGATCTGAACTTGGGATCTCTCAAATATGAAGTGGGAGCACCAACCACTTGACCATGAGGTTCAATCCCATTTCTGTCCCTGTGTGTTTTTGACAGTACATGTTGGAAAGGTAAGAGTGCAAGTTCCACGTGTGTAATTTCTGTTGAACTAAAGTGCAAAGCTCACTGGTGTCATATGAAGGTCTTTGTAAAAGGACGAGGGCTCCTTTGCTAGTTCTGTTGTTTGGATAAGTTATATGATAAGAACTAACGCAGGGAATGTGAGAGAGGTATTTTTACTGTTTTGGCAGTCGTGGATTAAAGACTGACCATTTCTTTGGTGAATTGCCAGAAGTTTGGACATTGAGTTGAACAATGATTCATGGATGAGTAAACTAACATTTATGATTAATTCAGCACCACAGGGGAATGTATACAGCAGCCTGGGCCAGGAATGTGTTGCTGCTGGATGTAGTGTTGATCTCTTTGTGTTCAACAATTCTTATATTGATTTGGCCACCATTGGTCAAGTATCAAGATTATCCGGTGGAGAAATCTACAAGTATACATATTTTCAGGTATATGAACTGTTACTTAAAAACCTGAGATTGAGTAAATTGCTTAATAGAAATGCTAGTAAAATACTATAATGAAATTTATATAAAAAGCGTTACTGTAAATGGTTTTCTGAAAGTGTGAAACTCACTCCGATGTGTTATAAATTAAAGAATAATTATGTGTTTACATTTACAAATGTTGGACAGGCTGATCTGGATGGCGAACGACTCATCGCAGATATCAAACATGATGTGAGTCGTCCAGTTGCATTCGATGCCATCATGAGAGTGCGCACGTCTACTGGTGTTAGGGCGACTGATTTCTATGGTCACTTCTTTATGTCGAACACAACGGATATGGAGCTTGCCAGTATTGACTGTGATAAGGTGAGGAAGTCTGCAGCAATATAAAAGGCTTGTGTATAATTGGTTTAAAATTTTGGATGTGTTTTCAAGTGATAATTTTTCATATGTAGAAACATACCAATTAGTTTTGCTGTCTTACTTCATATTAATAATTCAGACAGTGGCACTGAAATTCTGTGGATGTGAGATTTGAGGTTTTCATAGCACTGAAGCTGAATTACTAAGGTGGTGTGAATCACATTCTCAACCTATGATGATATTGCAAGTCTTGCCTACAAAATCTGTGTGAAATTTGGTTATACAGCAGACTCTGTAACAACTTCTCAGGCTTAAAGACCTTTTTCTTGGAATCCCCAAATTCCTCACTTGATGAAATAATTCTTTGCAAATACAGTAGGGCATCGCTTTTCAGCGATCCGCTAATATGGCGCTTTTCAATTGCATACATATACAGTAGGGCCCCGCTTTTTCAGCCCCACGCTCTCAACAGCCGAGTCAGAGAAGTGTGTCCGGCGGCATTTTCTCATCGCTGATTCAGTCTGTTTACAGCTTTTGTGTGCTCTGCATGTCTCTGTATTTGTGGCAATTTTTCAAAGTTATTACATAGTATAAACATTAATTTTCAAATTTATATTCACCAATCACTATAAGCTGAGGACAAAAATATTTTAAGGTAAGCAATGTGTGTACTACTGATATTAATTTTACTTTCATATCATTTTCTTAGGCCTAGCGCTATTGTGCACTTACTATATGATAGTGTAACATCTAATTAGGCTTTGATATGCATTTGCAATTGAAAAAAAGGCAAAGATCCGCTTTTCGGCGATTTTCGCTGTTCGGCGGGGGTCTGGTCCTTAACCTGCCGTATATGCGGTGCCCCACTGTATAAAATATTTAGTACTGCTCCAGATGTCCAACAGATATGGTATTTCGTTTCTTGTTAAGTCCTTTTAATACTATTTTCTAAAAATGGGTGAGGTAAGAAAAAAATTGTGTTGTATGGAGTATCAAAAATTGATAAATCATTCTTATGCTTAGAAAATGCCAGTGATGATTTTTCACTTTGTGCTGCATTTTTAGTACACTTTATTCATTTACTTATTGTTTCTGCAAGCGAAGAATGTAACCCAATCCTACCAGTTTGTCTGATTTACGCCCGCTTAGGAAGAGACCACAGTAACTGTAGAAAGTCCAAGCATTGGTATGAGATCCGAGTTTTCTTTAACCATCAGGGTGAAAAAGTCGAAGTAAAATTATTAACAGTGCTACTGTGTTGCAGGCTCTCACCATAGAAATAAAACATGATGATAAGCTTACAGAAGAAGATGGAGTGTATATCCAGGTTGCTCTGCTTTATACGTCATGCGGGGGTCAGAGACGCATCCGCATCCTCAATCTGTCACTCAAGACGTGCACGCAGATGTCTGACCTTTATCGATGTTGTGACCTGGATACCATTATTAACTTTATTGCTAAACAAAGTATGTGATTCATGATTTATTGTTATGCATTATTTATTTGCATTTGTCGTCGTCGTAAGTTGAGTGGGAGTGGGGCATGCAGCATACAAATTGGACATGGGAAATGCATAGAAATGTTAAACAGACAGCTTGAAGTGAAGACACCACTAGGGACATACAGACATTTTGGCAACAATATTACTAAACTGTATGCTAAAGATCTAGAAAATAAGGATGTGTACTGATTAAACAGTTGTAGGGTATGGTTGATGGCAGACTTTTGTTAACATTGCAGTCATCATCCAAGTTGCATGAAATGGGGGGAAATTTCCAATTCAGCTAAGTGACTGTCAATTTCTCGAGTAGGACTCTGCTATGTGTAGCTAGCAGGTCTAAAGCGCCCATCCACGTACGAGTCTGACTTGCGAGTCTGGCTCGGCAAGCTTGACTCGTGAGCCGGGCTTGGATATATTCCACCACACATGCATAGCAGACTCGGCTCGTGACACCCCACCCACAAACGAGTTTGGCTCAATGGATCCCGAGCCGAGCCAGATTCGCAAGCCAGACTCGTACGTGGATGGGCCGCTTAAAGATGAAGAGCCAGATCCTCATGACAAAGGTTATCTAAAGGTTTTGACATAGGTGCGTTATGAAACTGAAGCATATTCTTAGACATTATCTGATAATTGAAAAAATGTAAAAACCACAAAATGTTTTAGAAGGTGGCTTTAAACATTGCAGTAGAAATTTTCTCCAGGTCGTGGAATCACATATGATTTTTATGATTTATGTTTGGTTTCAAATTCATGTGGAGATATTCTTAAGAACTCATTGAATGTTGACCTTTATTGTTTATTATATGTTCGGTTCGTTTATCTAATAGCCGTGTTCCGACTGTTGGAGTCATCACCAAAATCAGTCAAAGAAAACCTGGTAAATCAATTCATGTGGAGATATTCTTAAGAACTCATTGAATGTTGACCTTTATTGTTTATTATATGTTCGGTTCGTTTATCTAATAGCCGTGTTCCGACTGTTGGAGTCATCACCAAAATCAGTCAAAGAAAACCTGGTAAATCGATGTGCACAGATGCTGGCTTGCTACAGGAAGAACTGTGCTAGTCCAACTTCAGCGGGACAGCTTATCTTGCCTGAGTGCATGAAGTTGCTGCCACTTTATGTTAACTGCGTTCTCAAGAGTGATGCAGTTTCAGGAGGTTGGTACATGTATTTAGAGCAACATTTACATTGCTAGTGCAGTGGGTATGTGTGTGACTCTGTGGGCTGGGTGATTTTCACTATTTTTTATAATTTTCCACAGGCCAGAGAAAACCAATGAATGAAGACAGAAAATAAATTGTGACATGGGGCATTATTCTTCTTCTCCTCTTCCGTTCGGTCCTCTGTTAGGTCCGTCTGTCCGAGGTTGAGGTTTCTAAACATCTTCATTTTTACGGTGCAAGGTTGTTAAGCTTGCGACCAACCCCCAACCTGGAGGACCAGGGTACCTGTCTTAGTTTGACCTCTCCCCCTCAACCAATCTGGCTAGGGAGGCCCTACCAGTAGCTATGCTACCGCCAGCATAGCTCTTGGGGTCACTGAGGTACTCGAGCCCCTCCACCACGACAAGGTGCAGGTACCATTAAGTGGTTTTCTTTGGCCTGTTGAAAATTATAACAAATAGTGAAAATCACCCAGCCCGCAGAGTCACACCCCAATGTATGGCATTCTAGTTTGTGCAAATTGCAGAATGTCAGTTAATTTCATTACATTATAAAAGTTAACATAAACTACAATTTTGTCATTATCTGAATCAGTGTTTGCAAAAGGATTGCTCTCGCTGTTAGTTTTTTCTTCTAAAAATCTTTAATAATCATTCTCAAACATTTTTTTTCAATATTTTATCTCATGACAACAAAGCAATCAAGCGTTAAAACAGCTGTTACGACCAGTTCAAGAAATAGTACTTGTTTGACTATTCAGACTAAAAGGCCACATTCTTATCTCTGTTTATTGTGGAAATTGAAAGTGTTTTCTTAATAATTATGAATATACTGATTACAGGATCTGACATGAATATTGATGACCGATCATTTATAATGCAAGCAGTTACAATAATGGATATTCCATCATCTGTCGTGTTCTTTTACCCACGACTTATCCCACTTCATGATATCGATGTTGATTCTGATGAACTGCCACCTTCCATCCGCTGCACGTCAGATAAGATTAGAGATGACGGTGTGTACTTGTTAGGTGAGTACTTACAATTCTAAACAAGTATGTATTTGGTAGCAGTTCCATTAGAAATGTGAAACCACGACGTATCTTAATTTACAATTCAGAAGCTTGAGTTGTACTTTGCAGGAAATTGAATTGTATTATTATGATGATTGTCTTCTGGACTTGCAGATACCAGCCTCTGTCATCAGTTATCACTGTGAAAACCTGACTTCACATATTAAGTTCCATAAAAATCTATATGATGTATTTAAACTACATACGGATCAAGTAGAATAGTAAAAGGCCCGTTGAGAACAACATTTCATGTGTCTTTTGTGTTTATTGTTACAGAGAATGGCATCCACTTATTCTTGTGGATTGGGCTGAATGTAGATATGGAATGGATACAGAATGTGTTTGGTGTTCAATCAGCTGCTCAGATTGTTATTGATCGTACATCATTGCCCGTGCTAGATAATGCTCTTTCAGTAAGGATAAAATTGGTCATTGATTCTGTTCGCAAGGAGAGACATCGATGCATGAGGGTTAGTGTCCAGTGTTTTTTTTACTGTAATTTTAAGATTGTTTTATATATATGCATGTTTTCTGCTGTCTTTAAATTAGTAAACTGCGGTGTCTTAACGGAAGGAAGAACGTAAATTACAAGTGTTTGAATACAAGTCTTCAATAAAATATATGTACCTAAGAAGGATGAAGTAAATGAATATTTTAGGTTTACATACTGGGGAACTTCGTAATTTAGTGTGGTCTAGGCAACATGGAGTTTTCCTCCGGGGGATTTCTCCGTGGCATCCCAACAATTACTCCATTCACACAGAAGAAGGCAATGGCAAACCACTTCTAGATCATCTGCCAAGAAAGTGTATGAACAGGTCCCAGTCCGAGAAAAGGATGGAAGGATCCTGTTCATATGGACCTGTCGTCAGACAGAACACTAAATAATAACCCAGTATTGTTAGTTGAGATGAATCTAGGAGGTGGTTGTTATTTCTGCATGAGACCTAGATCGAGAGTTACAAAGCATGTATGCAGAATTTTAGTGAGGAAACCTTTTGGGAAATATTTGGGGTTGCAAGAATGGGATGTATATGAACCTAACTCAGAATCTTGTCCATTGGTGGGCTTCGGAGTTACGGAGTTCAGCGAGATAGAGGATTCACAGATTCGAGGCAGAGTTAACAATTGTAATGTTTTATACATGATTTTATTACCAAAAGGGTTCCTTCCACATCATGTAAAAAGTTTTCAGAACCAGTTCACATTTTAATTAGATTTTTTTATATATATTTCCAGTTAACACTGGTAAGACAATGTGACAAGTTGGAGATGGTGTTCAAACATTTCCTGATGGAGGATCGTGGCATGGACGGCACAGCATCATATGTAGATTTCTTGTGCCATATGCACAAGGAAATACGCAATCTGCTCAGCTAGAAGCATGTTACAGTTAACAGCCAGCAACATGGTAACGTGAACAAATCCAGAACCTGAGGCTGTAATGCTCCAAAGGGTCACTAAATTGGCAGCAGTCATTAATTAAAAAATACGACAATGACTGTCACCATTTTCTTCATCCCGTTGTAGTTTGTCATGGCCTGTACTGAAGAGCAACACCAAATTTGTCACTGGTGGCAGAGACAGAGTGACGTGTTGCAGCTTCGATCTTTTCATTTACTCTGTATATTCTCTGCCTAAGAAGACAACCAAACAAACATTACAGGGAACGGGACTGCGATTTTGCATAGTACTGAAATAAAGCTATCTTTTTATTAATACAGAGAAGTTAATTTCATGGTTATACTACACATACACACAAAAAAGAAAGGAAAAAAGAATGTATGTTGCAATGAGGATTTTATTAAGGAGAATGCATTATATGCAAATGAACAATATGTGAACAGAAGTTAAACCATGCAAGGCTTTAAACTTAATAGTGATGGAGGGAAGATAAAAAATTATGT